ATGTTGCTTTCATTTTATTCATCTCAGAAACACTGTATTTCCATCAGTGACTAGCCCAGAACTATCTGAAGTTTTCCCCAAAACTTCAGCATTAAAATTACTTTACTCCTCACTTTAATGATCCATAAAACACCCAAATGTTCTGAGAAAATGCAAATAAAGGAAACTTAACTAGTTATAAAATTTGTATCATTCCCAAGATTTGACTTATTGTTATAACTTAGCTTGAAAAGTTTTCAAACTAGAGAAAACTTATAGTCCAAATTTATTTTAAATTTGTTGTATGAACTCTAAGCACAGAAGTGTCATTTGATTCTGTGGAGTGGGTATAAAAAATCTGAACACATTTCAATACCTTCTAAAGTTAATGGTTTTTCTTCCATGAATTTTTCAGAGGGGAAAGAGCCAGTCACTGACTAAATCATTCTGTTACCACCAGATCATGACATACCTAAACTTAACATTTTATAAAAAGTACTTACAATTTTTGCTAGGTATATAAAATCATAAAATTACAAAGCTAAAAGGAATTTGAAAGTTTAATTCCCCTTTCCTTCAAGCAGGATCATACTTATACCACCAAGATTTTTATCTATCTTATCAAGTCCAAGATACTAAAATCTAAAACCTGCCTTAGAAAATCTTTTTTAATAGTGCTTTAAGTAATGCTATATTTACTTAAACTTCTGAAACCAGACAAGACAGAGCTGAGAAATCATGTGGGTTCTAAAGGCAAGTGAGACTTAGGTTAAATCCTGGTTATACCAACTACTGGCAAAATGGCTGGACAAATTGCTAAATGAACACAAAGCTCATTTCTCTAAACCAAACCAAGGATATACTGAGGAACCAGGGTTTACAAATTAAAAAGAAAGGGGCTGGAAGTGTAGTCCAGTGGTAGAGCATGTGTTTTAGTATGTACAATTCTTCTCCTGGGTTCAAACCAGGAAAATTCTTTTCTAATTCTTTTCCTGGGTTCAAACCCAGCACCCCCCATAAATATTAATTTCAAATGATAATGCGCTTGTTATATGTTAACATAAAGTCTAGTTGCCAGGAAAAAAATTAATAAGAGTAGCATTATTTTACATTTTGCAAATCTTTTTAATGTATAGGTTTTTCTTAAAAGACAACAGGATACTCATATCTGCTTCTGTATTCAATATTTCCAGTCTACTGTTTCAACTGAAATACTATAGGAAGAAAACTTGGCCTGACAAAAGTAAAGCAGTTGGAAAAGGCAGGGTCTTGACAACCCTTCAGAAGCTCTCAGGCACCAAGATGAATTCTTCAGATCACAGACTAAGAATTGCTAATCTAAGGGAATTCTAATCCATGCACAACTCAGGTCTGCACGATGATAAACTTTGCTAGATTTCGTCAACAGAGAATAGAGCTCAAGACTGGCAGGGCAATTCTAAAATTGAGGTGAAAACAATCTTGAAGGAAAGAAGCCAATAAGGGAGTAAACTTCAAAATGTATAAAACACTGCCCCAATAAGGGAGTAAACCTCAAAATGTATAAAACACTATCTATTAAACCATGCATGTACAATGGAGACTTGAGCACATTAAGAGCACTGCTGGCATCATTAAAAATGGAATGGAATTTTTTTTATTTATTTGGTCTAATTAGTTGTACATGACAGCAGAATGCACTTTAATTCACAGTACACAAATGGAGCACAATTTTTCACTTCTCTGGTTGTACACGAAGTAGAGTCACATCATTTGTGCAATCATACATGTACCTAGGGTAACAATGTCCATCTCGTGGAATGGAATTTTAAACCAGCTAAAATAAGTGTTTGCTGGAACAAAAAAAACAAAAACTCTTCAGAGGAATCCAACAGAAATGTTATGAGTCTTATGAATGAAAATTTATGCTTATATAATTCTCATAGGAACACAACAGAAATTTTATCAATGAAAATTTATGCTTACATAATGAAATATAGATTATATTGTCTTCACATTTCACTCATAATCTAAGCATAAAATTTAAAATTTACTAGATACACATACACACACAAAAAGCCAAGCAAATAAAAAACTGGAAAATGTGACTTAAAAGTTAACAGAAACCAATTCCAAGAAGACCTAGGTAATGCAACTGGCTTTAGACTAGCTATAATAAATATGTTCAAGGACAAAAGACACATATCTCCAAGATAAACTTTAATCAAGATAAGTAATCTCAGAGAAACAGAAATTAGAAGAACCAAATAGAAATTATAGACCTAAAAGGTACAACAACTGAATTGAAAAATACATCACATGGACCTAAAGCAAGTTGGAGACAACAAAAGAAAGAGTAAATAAACTCAAAATCACAAAAAAAGTATCCAACCTAAAAGAGAGACAAAAGGTCTGAGATTAGCAGAATGATAGACTACCTTTAGGAGCAGTATTGAGGTCAAACATAATTCAAGACACAGAAAAATAGAGGATGGGGCAGAAAAAAATAAACATTTGAATAAATAATAGCCTAAATTTTCCCARTGTCATGAAACATTATCTATCTTATCAAGTCCAAGATACTAAAATCTAAAACCTTAGAAAATCTTTTTTAATAGTTGCTTTAAGTAATGCTATATTTACTTAAACTTCTGAAACCAAAGACAAGACAGAGTTGAGAAATCATGTGGGTTCTGAAAACCTTATCCAATATTAAACCCAAGTAGAAAAAACACAAAGAAAACACATCTTTGTACATCACTGACAGAGAGCTCAAAGTTTCTTTAAAAAAATCTTGAAAGTAGTCAGAAAAACCCAAAAGTAGAACAAAAGTATGAATGATATCTACCATCTCATTCAACCATAGAAACAGAAGACAACTATATATGAAACTCTAGGACAAAGAAAAATGATCTATGGTGTATATAATAAAAACAGCAGATACCTGGGGGCATGGGGATTAACTGGAAAGGGTCACTAGAGATCTTTCTAATGRTGACAAAACATCCTTCATCTTGGTAGTAGTGTGAATACATCATCAGATTTGTTAAAACTAAGCAGTCACATTTTGTATATTACAATGTATGTAAATTCTATCTTTAAGAACTATTTAAAAATCTAGTAGGGTTAAGGAATTGAACAGATACTACAGCATAAGAAATGGCAGAATACTGTTAAAACTGGGTGATGGATTTGGGGATTCATTATACTATTTTGTCAACTTTACATATTATTTGAAAATTTCCACAAGTTTTTAAAACTTTTTCTTTTAATTCCTCTTCAGTTGGAAGAGGATTGGTAATTATTCTTCTTTATATTATATAAAATCTCTTATTACAACTTTATCTAAACTTTCTTTTCTGAGACATATAATCCCTGCCATTTATGCTTTCTTTAATCTCATTTGTAATTGTTTCTACAGCTCACTTTGAAGTCTAGTTGTGTATTCCACGTCTACGTACTACTATTCAGTAGGGAGAAAACAGCTGAACTAACATTTCTTAAGCCTCTACTACATGCTTAGTAGTATGCTACCTTCTGTAAATATAGTGACAATTTAAATCCCAGAATGAATTTAGAATTTACTATTTTAATCTGATCTATTTATTACTTCTTTCCCTCACTAGAATTTACCTTCAATGACAGCATGAACCTTATTTTGTTTACTACTTATTCCATGAGGCATATAGCAGTACTCAGTAAATGCACCTAAATCAAACAATTAAAGAATATTAGGGCTTATAAATACCTGGTTCAACTCTCTTTTTTGATAATGCAAATCTTTTCCTGTCCAAGCTATATCTACCCTTTAATCTTACTGGAATCTTTATCGATCGTTATGAATTTGTTTCAAGTGGAATAGGGCAAACAGTTTGAGAACTTCACATTTTCTCTTTATTAAAAAATTTAAACAGGGCTGGGGATGTGGCTCAAGCAGTAGCGCGCTCGCCTGGCATGCGTGCGGCCCAGGTTCGATCCTCAGCACCACATACAAACAAAGATGTTGTGTCCGCCGATAACGAAAAAATAAATATTAAAATTCTCTCTCTCTCCCTCTCTCTCACTCTCTCTTTGAAAAAAAAATTTAAACAAAAAACATTTAATATAGTAAATCAATTTACATAATCAAAAAAATCTTTATATCATGTGTGATTTCTATAGGTGGTGTTACTTTTTCTGCTCATATTCATATGGATAAAGAAAACATCCGAATGTTTGGGTTTTTTTGATAGCCTCAAGTTCTGTATTGCCACTCTAAGCTAAAAATCCCTACAAATATCTAGAATTGAGTTCTTTACAGAGTGTAAATTGCAGTTGAACTATTATTGAATTAATAATAGATGATAAAAAGAATCACTAGTTTTACTTCAAATGAAATTAACATACTAAACACCTACATAAACTTAAGATAAAATTGTTAGAATCCCCCAGTGAATCAAACAAAAACTAGGTTTGTTCCTCAGAGTTCATTCTTGAGGAAACATTTGGGTGTGGTTTGTGAATAAAATTATCAGTACTTTTGATTAGAATTAGAGTTCTACCTCAATATTGAATAATTTTTTCATTCTTACATAAAATTCTTAAAACAAGTTAAAATGGGTGAGGAAGTGGTTATCAAAACACAAAAATTTAATAAAATATCTGTTAATTAACCAAAAATTTTCCTTATAAACAAAATACACAGAAGTTGGTAAATACAATTTTTCTTTGACCAACTAAAAAACTTTGAAAAAAAATTTTTCTAACATTCCAAGGAATAAGGCAAGAGAAAAGTAAACTTTTGATGAAACAAAAATCACTCACAAAGAATGACATTTTATATATATAGATATAGCTTTATTATTTAAAAAACATTTCACAAATGTCTTACACATATCATTTGCCACAAATTCAAATTTTTCCAAAAGCCATTTGATATCTACAGATTATACATAACTTTAAAATTAAACATTTAATTCAAATGTGCCAAATATAGCAAAGGGCTTAAAAACAGAGGTTTCAAAGTAAATACTAATTTAGAGACAGCAGCAAATAGATCTAACCTTTTCAAGTGGCCTTCCCAAAGAGTTTCCAATCAGTTTCCAGTCATTCAAGACTTCTTCAACTTTAGAAATAAACCTAGGAAGAAGACAAAAAAGCTTTCTCTAAATATGTAACTTCACATTTTTTTCCTATTATATAATTTCTTTTAAAAGGTAATTTCTATATTTTAACATTTTGGTTATAAAAGGCTTGTAAGTTTAATAGGCTAATTTATGGATATAATAAAAGCAGAAATAATCTTATTTAGCTCAAGTTTTAAAGAAGTTCAAAGTCTTAACTTTTTTTCCTCATGAACTGTAAAATACCAGTCCCACTCTACAAACAGGAGCATAAAAGCCAAGAAACAAATTTACTACTTTGTGTTCTCATACAATTGTTTCCATATGAAGAACTAAAGGATTTAATATTCTATTTCAGGATATTTTAAATATTTAACCAGAGAAAAGTGATCATTTTTCCATTCAAAATACTGTTTTCTCACGCCACCCTCCTAAATTCAAATTACTTTTTTCTAACTACCTTCAAGATACCAATTTCAAATTCAACAGGCCCAAAACTGCTGTCACTTTGACACTTATTCTTTCAGGCAAGAAACTGCAGTTCCATGTTTGGTTTTCCCCACTCTCATACATATCAAATTCATTTATCTAAATCTTCTTTAAAATATCTTACAATTCTCCTTTGTTTTTCTCCAGTCCTCAAATCACCATCCTAACTATGAATCAAGTCATGATATTCACTTTCATTTTACCTCACCTGGCCATTCTAAAAATCAAGATTCTCTCACTACTTTTTTAAGCATTGGTTCTTTTCTAAGTGTGGTCTCCTCATCAGCAGGATCTGCCTTACCTGGGATCATGTTCTAAAAGCAAATTTTAGGATTCCACCTCAGACCTAAAGAATCAGAAATTCTGAGGTGGATCCAAGCAATCTATGATTCTAATGCACAGAAAAACCTGAGAATCACTGGTCAAAAGTATAGAATGTAGATTCCTTCACTTAACTTTGGAAGTTTTCCACAACCTAGTCTCATCTTCCTTATTTTTTTTTTTTTATTGTTGGTCGTTCAAAACATTACATAGTTCCTCATACATCATATTTCACAGTTTGATTCAAATGAGTTATGAACTCCCAATTTTATCCCGTATACAGATTGCTGTATCACATCAGTTACCCTTCCATTGATTGACATATTGCCTTTCTAGTGTCTGATGTATTCTGATGAATACATCATCTTCCTTATTAATCTTAATTATTTCCTGTCAATAGGAAACATTTCTTCATGAAGTCAGAAAGATTCATTCTCACCTGTCAGTCAGATGTCTAGCCCTTCTCATGTCTAACCCACCCCTTCCCAATCCGTCTCTTCTAGAGTCTGCTATCTTGCCCAGCTGGTCTTAATCTCCTGAGCTTCCCCATTAACTAGGACCATAAGCACCAGCACTAAGCTTCAACTGCCTATTTTCTCCCTCCCCCCACTTTCTATTTTCAAATCTGCTAATTTCTTAGCTTTTCTACAAATTATCTCCAACAATTCTAAGTCCAAAACATTATCCCTATTTAAACTACTATTTTTACAGTTAAAGTGCCAATTGGATTACATTTTAACTATTTGCAGTTTGGGTTTTTTTTTTTTTAACATAAGGATTATGTGGGGGGCAGAGGGGTTCCCCTTGGCGTGACTCAGGACCCTGGACACACTACCTGATGAGTATAGTCTTGTCAGTGTGACTGGGGGTCAGGGGAACACTGCAAGTCAAATCATTATTCCAACAGGGATTTTTAAAAAATATTTTTTTCCTATGCCATCTAATTACGTATTCACAAATTTTACCTCCCAATCAGAAAGATTACAAAATTTCAACAATCTAAATACTGACCTCAACACTGACAAAACTGAAGGGTTTCTGTGATACCGAACAGAAACCTTAATCTAAGCTATCACTCCTCCACAAAACTGGCTTTCCACTAATATCAGTGGTATAACAATTCCACTCATACAGCTGTTCCGAGTTTGTTAGGCACAGGAAGCCTGGCACATCACCCACTGAATTGTTAAAACTTAAATCAAAACGTTCCTAAGCCATATGCAGAATTTGTAAAAAGGTTATTCTGAAAGACGGGATGGAGATGGTGGGAGTGTAGCAGATGSACCATCATCAATACACTTGAGAAAGGCCTCATCCTGAAAATGGAATACCGATGTCCACAGAAGTAAAAAAATGCAGCTGCGAAGTTTATTGCTAATGATTAAATGAGTTAAACAAGAATGAAAATAGGAACGGTAGTGGTAGTTTCGGCAACTATTTTTGTGTGTGGGCAAGGGTGTAGTCAAAGTGGGCTGAAAGTAAACAAAACTTTTTCTAAAAGCCCCACGGTCAAGGGTTTGGCCGACGGGGGCGGGCCGGGACTTGTCAAGACGGGATGCGGAAGAGGTCTGTATCTAACCAGAAAAGGGATGACTCGGGACCTACGGGTATTACTTTTCTCACAGAAGCGGCCTCACAAGTGTTATGTTTGGGCTAGGAAAGTGGCGGGGGCAGGCCAGGGCCCAGAGTACTGGCAAACGGAGATGCGACTCACCTTTCCCATTCCGAGGCAGTGGTGAAGTCTGTGATTTCAAATACTTCGGACTCGGGCTGAGGGAAAGGAAGGGAAAGAAAAGAAAAAAACTAAGCTCCAGAGCGATGACGTGGAGGCGCGAACTTAGTGACATAAGATAGGAATCAGGGAACTCACCTCACTGTCAGCAGCCATCTTGAGGAGCGCCGGGTCGGGCGCTAGGACTGCCGGGAAGAAGAGCGCAAGAGGGAGGGGCGGAGGGCAGTGAGCGATAGTGGGCGGGGAGTATCGCCAAGGCCCCGCCCCTGAGGCCCAGCCTTCTGATGATGAATCTTCCTTAGGCTAGAGAATGCTCTTTTTTCCTAGGATAAGAATTTAGTATTCCCTACCTTAACGTCTGGCTGGCTTAATGATATTTGAAAATTTTCTGTACAGTAAATGATTACAGTAAAGTACCAGAAGGAAGGTAGAACAAAGTCCTAGATTCATGTGGATAAGATTGTATTAAAAAACCTAAAATACATTGGGTCTGTTTTCGTTTAAATTGTTTTTTGATTGCCAGGCCCTGAATAGGTGATAAAATCCCACCAATTTCTGTCACCATACTCCCTAAAGAACTTATCCAGTTTGGGTTAAGAAATAAAATAAAAATCATACCAGTTATCTGGTTTGGGGGAAGAGCAACATGCTGTTCAATTAATGCTTCACTTTTAAGCCATTAAGGAACAGAAGGGCTGCCAACTAACAGTTAAGAATTCTATTTCATACATACTGAAATATCCCAGATGAAATGATAACTTTTCTGAGATTTGCTTCAAAGTAATGAAAGGGGGAAAATGGGTGGGGATGGGAATGAAATAAAAGCTATATGAGTCAATAATTGTTTAAACCAGTGATACGTACATGGGTGTTTATTATACTATTTCCTGTGTTTCAGGTTTGAAGCTTTTCATAATTAAGTTGTTTAAAATTAAATCTTATTTAATGAAATTGGCAACCCACAGAAAATTTGGAGGTGGCAGACCAGTAAATGCAGCTTCCATCATAAAAAGACTTAAAGTTAGGGACATAAAAGATATAGTGGTATAGACAGAGTAGACGAGGAAACTAAAGGTCAGAAGAATTTTGACAACAATTATTGCCAATGCAAAATGTTGCACGCATGTCTCAGTTTCTGTCCAGTACAAAACTGAGGGGCTGAATTACTACTGCAGTAATCTGTCCCAAGAGGTCTCAATTTGCACCTTTATTTATTTACAAGCATTTATTAAACATCTATTACATGTCAGTCTTTTTCCTAGGTTCCAGGAATGTGAAGATATACTGTAGCTATAATCTCTGACTTCTAAGAACTCAAGGCCTATTAGGGAAGCTGGAAATTTGCTACACGAACAGGAAGAGGTGCTACCTGTGTCAGTATCAGCAACATAAAGGTCAATGGTAACCTTGACAAGGAGCATCTTGGAAGAGAGCTGAAGGATAGAAAGGAGGCAGCCATGTCAAGGGTGGGGAAGGATTTGAGCATGTCTAGAGATTGCAAGGTAGAAAAATCTGCTCTGTCTTTTGAACTGAACAAGGGTCTTGCAGTTAGAGCACAACTTCTGTGATGAAGTTGGAGAGAGAGGTATGGGCCAGACCAAACAAGGCCTTTTAAACCAGGGATAGATTTTATTTGAAGTGTAATGAAGGTCACTAGAATGTTTAAGCAAGAGAGCAATGTAATCTAATTTACATTTTGCAGAAGTACGGATGCCATGTGAATAATAGATGGGAAGGGGGCAAAAGAAGAAGTAGAAATAGCTAGAGACTATTAGAGAATTTTAGACAGAATGTGCAAAGGCTGTGACTAGGATGACGAGGTAAACAGATTTGGTAGGAATTTTAGAGATGGGATAGACAGGACTTGCTTATGGACTGAATTCAAGAATAAGGGAAATGTAGGAATCAATAATAATTTTCAGATTTCTAGCCTAAGTAGCCATATGAGGATAGTTTCTGCAATAGGGAAGACTGCAAAGGAGCCTGGAAACAAAGAGTTCAGTTCGGTAGATGTTAAGTTTGGCAAGCTTGTAAGATATCCAAGGGCAGTTATGGAGAAAAAAAAATCAGGTGAGGAAAACGACTCAGAGGCAAGACCAGGGGTGAAGGTATAAATTCATAAGTATTGGCATTTTCAATCACAAAAAACAGATGAGGTGATTTAAGAATATAGAAAGGGAAGAAAAGACCCTTTCATTAAGTTCCAAAGAATTTTATATTTAGAGAATGGATAAAGGAAAGGAGTAGCTCAAGAAATAGGAGAACAAAGAAAGAGCAATTGCACAGAACCTGAGAGAGGAGACCATTTGCAAATGGTAAATATTGACTGCTGCTGAAAAAGCAAGTGAGTGAGGAATGTAAAGTCAAGGATGATTGGTTGTTTCTTGGCTTTCTTTTTGTTCACCTTTTTGGCAGAGGATAATAGACATGTTTGTATGCTGATGGAAATGGTCCAGTAGAGAGAGTGATGATGAAGGAGAGATGGGAGAGTTGAAGGAGAACATTCTTAATAAAGTGAGAGGGGAAGAAATCCACAGAGATGGTGATCACAGAACTCCAGGGAACACCAACTCTTGTGTGTTCCGAAATCTGACTGTAGGAGGTGCCCCCTACAGAAAACACCTTGTGAATAGCGCCTCTTGGAGTTGTGCAGCAAGGGAGTAGGAGGAATTCAGAGCATGTGCAACAGGGGAAAATGAAGCATATGTAGTAAGGTTGGCCTTTTTGGAGAAAAGGAAGCGGGCAAAATCTGGATACAAACAGGGAGATTTGTATACCTAAAAGGAAGAGTTACTCACTAATTTTTAAAGATTCTCACCAAATGAAGTAAGTTCATGGCTTTTAGGATCAAACATATCTGGGTTCAGACATTTATTAACTGTAGGACTTTGGGCAAATTACTTAACTCCTCTGAATCTGTTTCTCCACTGGAAAAATGGGCTTTGTACCACCTAATACTACATAGCAGACATTAAGTTCTATGTTCATATGTTCAACAGCACAATGTCCTGGCATTCAATAGGTGATCAATTATAGTAGTAGCATTATGATGACTGTACTAGGAAAAACATAAAGTGCTACTCACATGTAAGGCATTACTTATTTCCCTCCTTGCTTATCCATGAAGAAGTTTCAGTACATACAAAAATCAGAAGCTAAAAAWATCATGAAGATTTTGATGCATGAAGTCAAATTTTAGAAACTCTAGGAAGCAGCCTTACCAGGTTGCTAGGTAAAGTTTTCTTCCAGGATATTTTTGGCTTCTCATCTTCTCCCTGGAGAAATTTTTAAAATATGTTATTTGTTAAAGTGAAGTGTGAAGCCAGGATGCTAATGATGTAAAACACCCAGGGGAGACACACTTTTATTAGATTTCCACTGGTTCACAGAGCAGAAAAGATCTGTTTCTTCAGTATTAAGAGCTATATTGCTTCATGTCCAAAGGCAAGAGCTTTTCCTTGCAAGTGCATTTCCTCTCTGGTATAATTCAGTTATTTCAAGGTGTTACCAATAATGGCCATGGGGAGATATTTTGACGCATAGGCAATTTAAGAGATTAGAAGCCTGGAAAAATCACCCTCAGCTTAGTCCTCAGAGAAATGTGGGAGCATAGTGGTTTAATTAGGTCACAGTGATAGAGCAAACATTGTTTGTGAAAGGAGCAACAGCTGTGGGACTACACCATCCTCATCTGTCTTGATGCCCTGAGCAGAGAGAATCAAGAACTCTCCAAGATGCTGCCATGGAATAATTGCAATAGAAGGTACAACTTTGAAGAGGAAGGCACTATGAAAACAAGAAACTTCAAAGAGAAATTATCTAAGTAAAATTTATTAAACAGCATGTTTTCATTCAGTCAGTCATATTTATCAAGAGTCTACTGTTATGGCACTGTGGTCARTCCTGTGGATGGATTCAAAGAATAATAATCCCTGCCTGCTGGGGTTTCACAGTCTGAGGACTGAGAGATAAGACGTAAGTAAGTATAATGTGGTTTAGAAAGGGATGCATGATGGTTATCCAATTTCTTAAAGCTCTTTGTAAAAATCAATAGTAGAAAAATATTCAAGTGACGTTTCAGAACACACACGTACTATCTTGCATTCTAAAAATTAGGTCCACTATTTTTCAAATCAGAAAGCAGCCACTCAGGCAAGGAATCTCCAGAGACTCCTTGAATTTTTTTGAACAGAGATTAAAAAAAATAATTCTGTCTACATTCACTCACCATTCATTCAGTCATTCCTTCATTCAATAAACTTTTGTTAAAAGCAGCTTCTGTATATCAGCGCTGTTCCAGAAACTAGAAACAAAAATAAAATATAAAAAATTTCTTGCCTCCAGGAAATTTTAAATATAAAGTGATTGAATTCTTCTAGGTGATAATAAATCAGGAATAACCAGTTCCAGTCCTTACTTTTGTTACTTGCCTGGCAGGTTCACATAGGACAATGCTTGCTGGCAGGTTGATCTAGTTAGCACAAGTTATGTGTTTTTATTTTTTAGATATTTTCATGGATCTTGAACTCAGAGGTGGGAAATAAAATAATTGAAAAAAGTCATAAGAATTTAGTACAAGTTTACACAACATGGGTTTTCTACTAAGCATCATGTTTGTGCACATATCTGTGTACAACTAGTTACTCTATTTTATACATGTATATTCTTATTTAATCTCCATTCTTCCCTTGCTTGGAATGGTAAAGTAGTCTTGTTACAAATGGTTAATAAATGAAAAATCTTAGATCTAATCCTGGCCTTCTTTCGTGTCACATTGTTCTGAAAGTAATGCTACTTTCACAGCAGTAACATCTCCCAGTGCCTAATGAWCTTTTCCTTGGGATATTTTGAACATTCACTTCTGTCTAATACTCAAGAATTTCTATTTCTACAGCTTCTGCTATGTTTCTGCTGTTAATCTTGTATCTTCCATTTATGTCTGTTCTTTGGATATATTTATAATATATCCCCAAAGATAGAGCCTGGGAATCTGTGTTTTAATTTAGATTATTTAAGTATTATCCAGTGTGAGGAATGTCTTCACATTTTAAAAGGTTTAAATGATATGCATTAAATAAGTGACCTCCTTTACTGACCTTTTAATTCCAGTGTCCCCAAGATACAATCACTGGATACCAGTTGTGTTAATGCTTTCAGATTGTTCCATAAGTGTTTACATG